GAGATTAAATTGGCCAGCTTCTCTTGTCTGGTTTTCTTGGGTATTAGGAAAATAGGACTAAAACATGCAGAGAAGGGAGTATGAGGTATGATTGTTGTGCAGTTTTACCCCTTAAGTGGGTGGAACACATGGAACAAAATGATGATGAGAATAGCGTGGAAAATACATTGAAGAAACCAATTACGAACTCATTTCAACACCTATTTATCCACTTCCTCCATGTATGTCACTATGTGAACCGCTGTTGTGTTTGGTAATGAACTTACAGTGTGTAATAGGGGAAGCTTTGTTCAACTTTACTCTTTGAAAAGGTTGAACTGAGTTCTTCCACTGTATGCTGCTTGGGGCATTGTTGGTGGTTATACTTCCTTTGAGGAAGACTGCTAAAACCTTCCATTCTGTCTTGAACGCATAGATAGCAAATGTTTCATCAAATCAGTTTTAATGACTGCAGGGACTTAAGGATCTGTGCTTGATTATACTTTTGAGGTCTGTCAACATGACTAGTGGAAGTATTTGATGATCCTCCTAATTCTTTAGGGATGGGGGGAATATAAGACAGTTTCATTTGGAAATGTGTACTATATGATTACCTGAAATTGAGTAAGATGGGTGTTGGAATCTTTATTTTTTCCTTTCTACAGTTGTGTCTAAACCAAAGGACTGTATTTTTCCATATGCTTTTAAAGAAGAGATTGAGAAAAAGGTAAGGAAGAGATTGAGAAAAAGGTAAAGAGCTCATTATATGAAGCACCTGTTTGTTTGGAGCGAGAAAGAAAAGGGGGTGATAGGGACTAGTAGAAAAAAGCTGTTTTATATTTTAATTTATTAGATTCATTCCTGCCAGATTGGATTATGACATCGGCCCATTAAAATGTATTAGACATATACACCTAGAAGCATTATTTAACAATGTTTAAATGTTTTACTATGTGAAAATAATGGGATTCTTTACTGTATTGGTAGATTGATAGGCTCAAATCCCCCTTCAATAGCTTAATTAGAAGCTTTTCTAAAATGCCTATGATCATATGATTACTATTTTGGGAAGGTGTTGGATAGAGTCCCTCCTCAGCTTGGGGAAAGCCAAGTGAAGTTGGGAATACTGTGGATGTTAAAGGGCCATGTGTTGGCAAAGTTGACATGGGCTGGCCAAAACTGATCAGTGATCTCTAAATTCCAGTGTGCTCCCTGAAGAAGTTTTCACGGGTCCTTAATAAAATGGGGAGGAATGTGAAGTAGTATAATGTAATGAATTTTTCATAGAGGTAAATGTATTCAATAAAAAGAATTTTCTTTTATGGAGAGTATGTTGTTTCTTTTACAAAGTGATGGTATTGATAACTTTTTTGTTTTGTTTTGTTTTTTAATGTTTGCACTTGACAAAAGTAAGCAACCTTTTCAGCTTCTACTTATTTTTTTTTTATTTTATTATTATTTTTTTTCCCATTTTATTGCATTTTAGGTTTTGGGGTGCATGTGAAGATCATGCAAGATTGTTGCATAGGTACACACGTGGCAGTGCGATTTGCTGCCTTTCTCCCCATCACCTCACTTATTTTATTTAATTGGCTTGAGAAGTCCAGTAGTTGGAGGTACTATTAGATTAGGCTATTATTTGTAAAGTGTCCTGAATTACCTAACCAAGTAAAATGACCTAGGAAAATTCCATTGGAGTCAAACTGACTTTTTTTTTTTGAGATGGAATCCCATTCTGTTGCCCAGGCTGGAGTGCAGTGGTGTGATGTCAGCTCACTGCAGCCTCCATTTCCTGGTTCAAGTGATTCTCGTGCCTCAGCCCCCTGAGTAGCTGGGATTACAGGCTTGCACCACCATGCCCGGTTAATTTTTGTCTTTTTAGTAGAGATGGGGTTTCCCCATGTTGGCCAGGCTGGTCTGGAACTCCTGACCTCAAGTGATCCACCCGCCTTGACCTCCCAAAGTGCTGGGATTACAGGCCTGAGCCACCACACCCGGCCAAACTGACATTTTTTAACTGACCTAATTGTAGAAAACATATAACCATCAACTTCCATTTTTAGAGATTTTTAATGAGTGGGTCTTTTGAATACCTGATTTATATTTAGTAATCCAAGTAGAAGCCTTTTGTGTGAAGGTAGGTTTTGTTTATAGTTAAAACACTTATAATTCTTTTTTTTTTTTTTTTTGACGGAGTTTTTGTTTTTTTTTTTTTTTTTTTTTTTTTTTTTCTTTTCTGAACACATACCTCAGGCAAGCAAATAATTGATGAGAATAAGTTTCTCTTCATAGAAGGTTTCCAGCTAATAAATGAAGGAAAAATGGAATAGTAGTACTTTGTAATTGCCAGTGAAATAATGGATCTAGGAAGGGATCACCAGCGGGTACTAATATCATTAGGGTAGAGATGAGCAGATATTATGTTCCTGTGCCTTTTGACAGAAGTAATCAGCACTTCTAAAGTATTCTTGCCCAAAAATTGAACCTGATTTTGATCAAGCTTTTAGATGTAACTTTGAATTTATAGGCAGTATGGAGACAGGAAAAACATGTTAAATGACATTATTGGGACACAAGCAGTGGAATCCATACTATGGGGCACTCTATAGGACAAACAACCTAGTTTCTTTAACAGATAAATTACAAGGGAATGACAGATGGGATGGGGTTGTACCTGTAGTTTTACATATCAACCATTTACAAAATATGGCCCTTATGTGGTAAATAAAATTGAGATAATTGGAAAATATGAAAATTTAAATTCTGCCTGGATAATTAATGGTTTTAAGAAATTGCTATTAATGTAATTGTATTAGGTGAGATAATTGTATTGTGATTATGTTTTTCAAACATCTTATCTTTCAGAGTGGTAGTGGTTCTCAGCTGGGTGAGATTTTGCCTCTAAGGGGACATTTGACAGTGTCTGGGGACATTTTTGATTATCACAACTCAGGGGGTCTGGGAATGGTAATACTGGCAACTAGTAGGGAAGTGCTAGGGATGCTGCTAACATCCTGCAGCTCACAGGACAGCCCCCACAACAAAGAATTATTTGGCCCAAGATATCAATAGTTCCAAGATTGAGAAACCCAGTTTTAGAGATTGATGCTGAAATCTTCCCAGAAAAAGTGATAGGTTTGGGTTTTGCTTCAAATTAATCTATAGAGAGGAAGGAAGTAGGTAGGGTTCTATATAGATGAGTTGATAATTGAAAATGGATGATGGCTAATATAGGAGTTAATTTTATTATTTTGTTTATTTTTTAATGTGTTTACATTTTTTTTTTTTTTTT